TATATATCAGGAAACTAAATTTGCACATTGTTTCTCAAATTTATGATCAGTGTCCATAAATTAAAAACAAATCTGAATAAAATTAGGAACTACATCAATTTGTTTACATCCAGAAACAGCCAATGATGTCAGCATGATCAAGAAGTCCAACAAGTTTGATTTTTTTTAAATTATTAAATCTCACTTGTTGAGTGAAGTTAAGCAGATGAAAAGGTTTTGTTTACCTGCATTTCAAACACATCTATCAGTATATCTGGAAACTACTGAAGTGTTCTTTTTTTTTTTCAATCTGCATTTAGTTCAGGATAAACTTTTCATGTTTGATTTAAAGCAGTGGTTCCCAAAGTTGGGCTTGGGACCCAATTATGGGTCATGAAGCACCTTGGATAATCTCCAGAAATCAATTTAAAGGGTAATAAAATAATTGGTGATGTGATATTTTCCCTATAACTATTACCAAAACACTAAATAAGTATAAATAAGTATTTATATGTGTGTACAAGCTGTTAGATTGTCAAAAACCTGTGTTTTTAGGGTTATTAACAAAATTTATGTATTCAGACCAGTAATTTTTGGGGTCACAAGTTCTTGCCATGGATATTTTGTGGGTCAGAAGATAAAAAGTTTGGGAACCACTGCAGGCTACTCCTTTTAGTAGAAAATGTAATTTATCTACTTCATAAATCCACATATTTTCTTTCTGTAAAGGTATCTGTAAAGATTTCAAACCCAGATTTAAAGAAAGTTTTGAGCCACTTGACTAAAAGCACCTCCGGAGATGTTTTGAACAGAAATAGAGGCTAATTCCTTCCTCATGGCTGCAGATCGAGTCTCCTATTGTCCAACCAGCTTCAGCTCCCAGGAAATAGATGGATCCCATTTCTGAACCCCACCCCTGAGGGGAGGTCTAAGTGTTGGCTGTCCTCCCACCGGCTTGCATCATGATGCTTGGAAACTTCGCCCCAATGAGAGACCTGCCCTTTTTTTTTTTTTTTTTTGTGGAAGGGACACACACACACACACACACACACA